ACAGGTCGATAGAGTCCTCAACCGATGGTCAGGCAAGCATAGTTGGTATGGACGAGATGTCCGTTGGGGTTTCTCTGCGACCCAAGTACGGCTGCAACGCGCACGCGGAGTTCATTTTGAATGTAAGTGCTCCACACACACCGCACTCGACAGCTGCAGTCACCGCAACACTTCACGCCACGTCTTTTGAAGCGCTAACCACTAGCCTGCTCATGATGCTGGCCCAATTCCCGATCAAAGCAGGCACACAGCAGCACCTACGAGGTGAGGTGCCCACTGCCACCGAATTCGGTACACAACTTTAGCAGGGCATCAAAACCACCTAATGGGAAGCTATGGGCTTGAATGCGCCTCGATGATGCTGATCACTTGCCATCGCCTTTGATTTCAATCCGCCTTCGAGCGACTGTCTCATTAGACCATTTACGAGTCCTCCATTTTATGCAAGCAAATGATTACGCAAAGCGTCGCCAACAGCAGAAGGCGGCACAAAGCATCTCGTGAGGTAAATGCTAGCAAGCATCCAATGCTCGGCTCTTATGGTGCTCCTTTACTGGTACTCAAGCACCACGAAATATACACCTCAATGCACTCACCTAAGCATGCCTTGACGCACTGTTTGTTGTCAAAGCTACCGTGGATAAGTGCCCCTTACAGAGGCCTAGCAAGCCGTTGCAAATTCCGTATTCTGGAAGCCAACCGTACGACAATTACGGAGAAAATGTGACCAATTTTACCATCATTACCATTCGCCCATTAATTGGCTTTGGTTTTGGTTTTGCGTTGAACGTCTTCACTCTGCTCTAGATCAAGTGCATTCCTTCGTACCCGAGGAACTGTCCTGATGTGACCTTCAGTTCGGCAATCTTTCACCCCAACATCGATTCACAAAGTGGGTCAATTTGTCTGAGTCTCCTCAGCGAATGGCAAAGGCGAGTCATTTCCTAGCATGACACGAATTAATTGCGCAAACATTGGATGCTAACATAGGAGAGGCATGAAACGATACCGTCAAGCATGCACTGAGTAGTATTGAAGATGCATCGAATAGAGGAACCACAGCAGGAATAGTCCTTCACGCTTGATGCATGGCATCCGTACATACAAGTCTTCCCATTGTTTGCGGTCACAAAAAGAGGGAGTGTAGATGCTGTTTACCCGACGTAGTTCCCATGGGTGGGTGTGCATCATCCTCGTGTGAGTTGTTAATAATTTTTCTGTCTATTGCATGTGTAGCTGCTACAGCCTGCTGGATATAGTCAAGGCGGTGCTCTACCTGATCGACCACCCTAACTAC